TTTTGCCTGCTGCTTCTTCTTAATGTCTTTGGTTCCCCGCCCATGACATCCCAGGGCGTGGAAGCTTCAGCCCTAAGCTTCCCCAAAACCTGTCCCTAGCAACTGAGCTTGTGTTTGCAGCACCCATCAAGACATTGACTGAGGTAGTCATAAAAGCATTTATAGCCTCACAGTGTTGGTTGTTTGCTTTAATCCTTTTTTAAAAGTTGTAATTCCCTTTTACATATAGTTCTCCATGCTTATTGTTCAATACATTTTGGTTGCTATTTCAAAACCTTATCTTCTCCCTTAACCTTCACATTTTTTCATGTATTTTCCTTTACTCCTTCTGTAAATACTTTGCAATGGCATATTTTATCCCCTGCTGTATACACCCTCTTTTCAACCTGACCCTAACTCACTCCCAGTTACTTTAACTGACATGGAGGAAAAAAACCACCAGAAGCCACCAGAATTTTGTGTATGCTACAGCTCCAATTGGTGCTACCACCAGTGAAGCTCAACCACTGGTTGCACAAATGCGATTTTCCCCCAGAACAATTCCCTACCGTACACGCAACCTGAATGTTGGCTTTTTCCATTACTGACCCCCAACTGCACCAGCCATTTGTCAGTTAACCCAAAATGAAATTCCCAAGGTCAGTTCTTATTAAAGTACCGAAGCAGCTTGTCCCAGAGCATCAGCTGAGTCTGCTAGCACTGAGACATAACAGTTATAAATAACTCTGGGATAAGTATTTAGAATCCGTAGCTAGAATTAGCACAAGACTGCAGGGCCCATCAAGCCAATGAGAGACATCGTATCTCTTATAAATATTTGTTTAGTAGTAGTTTGTCATATTTTAATTCAATAGTTATATCTCTTATGTAAGCATTATTTAAGTGATTTTATCATGTTCTTCCCAAGTTCACATTGTAATTTTGTTTGTGTTTGCAATTATTTTCATTGCCTTTCCTAGGCGCCAGGAAGTTTTAGTATTTATTAACATATATCATTGCTGGGGGGAGGGGAGGGCGGGGATTATTGGAAGAAAATCTTTGGCATATTAGCAATCTATCCACCCACCTCCTTTACTGGGACAGGTACAGATAATGTAGTTTTCACAGGTAGGAAATGAGCTTCTTACCTGAGCCTCACCGCCCATGGCGGAAGCCAAAGTCTGAGTCCTACTGCTCAGGGCTGAAGCCCTTGGGGTTTGGCCCCGGGCAGTGGGGCTTGGTCTTTGGTTTTGGCCCTGGGACCCAGCAAGTCTAACGCCAGCCCTGGCGACCCCATGAAAACAGGGTTACGACCCACTTTGGGTCCCGACCCACAGTTTGAAAACCACTGTAATACAACAATAAAGAAAACTGCCCATGCACTTCTGATCAGTTTAAAGTACTATTGGCAACCATAGTTTGTGCTGCATATCATAGCTTAAAGGCTGTAGTTAGCTAGTCAAATTGCCATTTCTGGTTGCAAAGCCTAGAAAGACTTTCACAGGGCTCAACTGTTGTAGAATCTGTGTCAGGACCAAAATTACCTAGCACTATGCCAGTATTTTTTTAAAAGTCAACATCTGTTGAATGTAAAGAAGAAAATTCTAGACGGTCTTGGGGCCACCAAAGGACTCCATTCCACTCCACACCTCCATTTCTTACCCTTAAGTATCACTGCTTACCCAGAAACCACTTGCCCTTGATACACAGGTGAGAGTTAAGATATTTTCTCTGGAGAGATGGAGTAAAGCTGACAGAGTGGTCAGGAATTCCTAGCATGAATGAGAGGCCTGATTTTCTCATTTACACCAGCAGTAATTAGGAGTAACTCCAGTGAAGCCATTTGAGTTACATTACTGTAAAAACAGGTCACATGACAGGAAAAACAGGCTGGAGAACTCTGGTCTGGGCCCTCTTGACTCCTTTCTCCACTATCCCCACATACTTAGTGATCCTGCAATGCTGCTCTCTATGCTAGCAGAAGCAGCATAGTACAAGTAACTTTTGTGTGTAAATCAATAAATGTACTTCAAAATTTCAAGGCAATCCTTGAGGGGCCATCTCATATGCAAGAAAGGTGAAGAAGAGAGCGATTGTATGGTGCCACCGTAGCTCAGAGAATTTGTCCTCCAGTTACTCTGCAGTTTGAGATTAAAGAAGAGAACTCTAAGGGTGAAATACTGTCCAGAGCATAAAGCCTGAAAGTTCAGGTTCTATGCAGATGGAATGTGGAAAGGTAAAATTCACCTCCCCAAACCATAACCAGGGTCTGAGATTGCTGCTACGCAGCAACCCTCCCAGCTGCTATTCTAGTCTTTGGACAGTAAAAGCAGCTGCAGCCCTATGAACTAGTTGCACAGGGTCCTGGGGTCACTGGATCTGCACAAACACAGTTCCACAGTCCCTCAGTTCTGTCCTGTGCTGGCCTTGTACGGGTTAGTATGGAGACTAGTTTTGTGATATGTGAGGCATGTGCAGGCCTCCCTGCATAGCTGCTCAGCCAGCCAATCCCCAGCACAACCCCTATGAGGGGGTAAGTGGTGTGGAGGGCCAACACAAGACCGTCTAGTTTAAACTAACAGTTAATTTCACCTAAGTGGAAATACAATAAGACCTCCATGTGTAGGCCTTAAGATTTAACAGCCCAAATAAATCTAAGTAAAAAGATTTTGGTCATCACAGGAGCCAAGTACAGCTGTAATGGTTAAAGAGACGTTATGTGTAACCTTTTACATTTTCAAAAATGCTTGCTGAACACATTACAAGATGACATGTAAGTATATTTGTTTTCCTTTTGATATACAGTGGAATACCAAGCTGTGAAATTTTAATAAAGCTGTGAAAAATATCTCTAGGTCTGGGAGTGCTCGTTTCACCATCACAATAATTAAGACTCTTGGCACAATTTAGTTCCTTTCAGATAAAAATAATTATTTAAAATTTGTGCTGATTCTCTCATATTAGCAAAAATAAATAGTATTTTAAAAAATTGAGAATATGGGGGCGGGTCAATCATGCAAAAAAGGCTGTTGTGCCCACAATGGCCTACAATTAATTTAAAAAAAATCATGTTGAGCAAATAGCTAAATGCAAAACAATGAGTATATACTAGAAAATACAGAATAGGGAGCATGCTCATACCACTGACTTCCATTTGAGAATATGACAGTTATGTGAATGTTGTCAAAACAGAAAGCTTTGAAAAATCAAGACAATGTGGAATATATGTGCGGCTATGAGGGTTGGCGTGACTGCCTGATTATAAATTACATATTAATAATACTTTACATTCAGGAACTGCCTTTCATCTGATGATCTCAATGTTCTTTGCAAGATGAGTAGTTACTAATATCTCTATTTACACAAGGGTATAGTGAAGCACACAAAGGTTAAGTGAACAGCCTATAGTCACGCACAAAGTTAAGTGTCATTGTAATTGGAGAACTCAAGAGTTCTGACTCCCAGTCTCCAACACATACCCCGGCCAATACTGTTTTAATAAAAAGAACAGGAGTACTTGTGGCACCTTAGAGACTAACAAATTCATTAGAGCATAAGCTTTCGTGGGCTACAGCCCACTTCCTCGGCTGCAACCGAAG